GAAAAGGAGGTGCGGCCTCCTAGGAAGCGGCCCATATTAGCTGGAAAGTAGATTTCTATGTTTCAACTGCCAACCTAGCTAAACAAATTGTATCTTGATAATCTTCAAGTATAAAGGTTACATTCCGCATTCCTCAGGACAAAGTACCTAATCCAAACAGATAGTATCTTGTCTCCCCTTTAGAAGTCAGTGAACAAAGTGGAACTGCCTCTCCCATCTCAACCTTATTAAATTCAACAAATTAATACTGCGCTGTATGTGCCAGGAACCAAGTCAGGTACCACAGCAGGAGGTAGAATCACTTAACATTTGCAAGGTAACATGTTACTCAGAACAGACCTTGATAAAAATCTATCTTAAATCTTAAAATTCTTTCAACGACCCTTCACCTTGGCTGTCATCTCTGAGAATACAGTATTTTTTAAGACATTAACACCAATCTCCAAAATCAGAGAGCTTCTTAGTCTGTTTCACTATCTCAACCTTACCAAAAACTATCAAAAACACCCTTCTGATCAGGGGGAGAACTCAGCAGCCAAGCGCCTGCTTGGCAAGCACAAGGTCCCGGGTTAGATCCCCGATACCACATGCCTTGCTGACCCTGGAACCCCAGGCGCACCTGTAATCCCGGCGCTGGGAGGCTGAGGCAGGAGGATCACTATGAGTCCAAGCTGTGTAGGGAGACCTGGCACCAAATAAATAAATAAATGATTTTTTTTAAAGTAGCACTTCTCCACTTCTATTTGCTATTCTCTTCTAAATAAGAGGTCACATCACACCCAGCCCTAAGAACAGACAATACTGCACACACTTCTCTCTTCCAAAGGCAACAAGAAAAAAAGTTGAATATCAATGAAGAAGAAAAAGAGAGATGACACACACCATTCCTCTTTCAAGTACTCAGAGAGGGCACTTACTCTAGCCTATTCAGCACAATCTGGACTCCAATCTGGAATGAAAGGAAGATTTTCTTTTCTGGTGGGAAGAAAGACAACTTGAGAACTGATTCGCTTTAGAAATATGAACCCATGCATAGTCCAAAAATTAATTTATTTTATTTATTTATTTGTATTTTAGGGAAGGGTCTACAGGGTGTTCAAGGTCTCACTACTAGATCGGAGGATTCATAGTGATCCGCTGGTTTACAGCCTCCCAAGAGCCACGCCCACTCTCAATGGCCATCTCAGCATGCCCCGGGGACGGGGCCACCACCACAGGCCCAGGGAATTGATTTTTATTTTTAGGAAATAGAGTTTCTAATAAAGACCACAGCGAGAGCGGGCATAAGCAGACAGGTCGGTCTGAGAGGCGTGCCGTGGTACATCACTGTTCCTAAAAGTTAATAAGCAAAAGCAACATCATAAAATCATCTCAGGAGGCTGCTTTTTGTTTTAGAACTTTTTCCCCTAGTCTGCTTAATGATGAATGATCTTTCTTTTCCTTTTGAGGGGGACAGGCTCACTATAACATGCAGACTGGCCTTAAACTCACTTATGTAGCCCAGGCTGGCCTGGAACTCAAGGTCACTCTCCTGCTTCAAACTCCAGAGCGCTGGGATTGCTGGGATTACGGGAGGGCACCACCACATCAAATGTAGTAAAGGATTTTTCTTAAATGTTTCATTATCTCAACTTAGTACTGAAAGCTAAACAGTTTCCTTTAGGGTTTTTTTTTTTTTTGTTTTTTTTTTTTTTCTGACCTTCAAAAAGTAGTCACTGACTTTTATGAGGCTATTTCACTGCACTGGTAAACTTTTAAAGGCATAGTGAAAGTGACAAAATAATGTTTTACACTAAAGCAAAACTAACGCAGGGGACATGGCAGGTAAAACTAAAAGTCAAAAGGGGGCTGCTAATTTTGATATAAAGCTATCAGTAAACTGGCAGTGACACTAACCTGCTTTTAGGGTAACCTTGAGCACATAAACATGTACTTACTTATACTGGACTAGGTCCAGTTGGAGATTAATCCAGGAGTTTTCAATACTCTGTTCTCTAAATGCTGTGATTGGTTTGGCACCTCGAAGGCAGCTCTTTAAGACAATTTGCAAGTTTAAAACACACTAAATAAAATTATCAGAAGCACCTAAATTTTTCTTGTAAGCACTGCTTAGTTAAGTACCCAAAATTAGCTTCCAGCAGTATAGGAAATGTCACTCTTTTGTATTCGGTAATATCGCCAACAAACTTTGGCTTTAATTTGGGCAAACTGCAAGAGAAAAAGAAGCATAGCACATCAGACAAGCTACAACTTAATCTTTTCACTTAAGAAATAATCTCGTGGACTGTCCTAACCTACAGGCAACCTGGTATTTTAAATTAGGTTCATAAACAGATTAACCTGCTCACCCAGCTACAGTAGTAGGTGGAAGGCATCCCTACCTCACGAATATAAAAGAAGCTACTGCCATCAGCAAATTAACAACAGAAGTTTGAAGGCAGGCTTTAACCGCTCCTTTCGCAAGGTCACGTATTAACTGCAATCACGTTCTCTCAAGCTCATCAAGCAATGGAGCTTCAGGAGAAACATTTGATTCACGTTCCTTAAAATAATCCCAAGTCACAGTAACAATGAAGAGCAGCCTTTGACCAGTTTTCTTGATCACAAAAGCGCTCGCGGTCTTCCCCTTAAGTGTAATTCCTAGAAGGCACTGGCAGATCTCCGCCAGGCCAGTCTGCAGTGGAAAGCCAAGTGCAGGCGTCCAACAAGATGACAGGAGGGTCAATGTTGCTAAGTCTGCTGCAGTTCGCCACAGCAATCGCGGTTCAGCCTACCATCCTTAACTCTGTAATTGTATAGGATCGAACACAGCTCATGTAAATAAGGATCTGCCTGACCACAAACAGGGAGCTCCGGGGAAATATAATTTCTGGAACAAAACACGGCGCTTGCATAATTCCACAGACGCACGCCCAAGTCAATCTTTACAACAATGGTAGTCCCCGCCGTGTGCTGACACTTCTCCGGGCTAAACTTCTCAGCCCAGCCTGGCCTAAACTGGGCTCTGAGCGGCGCACAGGGCAACAGCACCAGCACCGCGGTCGGCCCCGTGGGGCAACGCCTGCTCCTACCCCATCCGGCTCCCGCGGGTTGCAGTGTAGTTTGGTCTGGTCTGGTTTACGGTAATGTGCTTTTAAAACCCCGCCGCGACCGAGGGAGGTCAAAGCTTTAGAGATCTAATAACAACCAAATGACCGGAGCTGGCGAGCACTTAGCGAGCCATTCTGATTACGGCTCTTTAATAGCACCTGGAGTTCTGCTCCAGGGAGAGCGGAAAACTCCAGCCTCCCCGGGAAGAAAGTCCTCCGCGGGGCGCGCCGGCGGAGCCCCGGGGCCGCCCCCATCCCCGGGCAGCGTCGCGACCCGGGCCGCACCCGACCTGTCAGCCCCACCGCCCAGCTCCCGGCTGCCGCCCCCCACGTCCCGAGCACAGCTCCGGAGCCCCACGGGCATCCCATCCCATCCCAAAGAAAGAACGAGCAGAAGGCTGCTCCTGGAGGCAGGGGGCCACCGGGCAGCACGCGATCCAGAAGCGATACGCCACCCCTGCCCCGCGCTTACCAGATAATCCATGTACAGAAACGCCTCAGTTATCCGGAGATCAGACATCCGGCAGCCTAAAGCATCCGGAACGGCTCCGAACCCGGAAAAAAAAAGCCGCGTCTCAGGCTGCAAGCGAGCAGCTCCTGTAAAAGCCAGCAACAACGAAAATAGCCGAGAGCGGCCGACGAGCCGAAGATTACACAAGAGGGGCGGCGATTGGCCGGGGGGGCGGGCAGAAGGAAAGGAGGGCGCGCATTGGCTGCCACCATTATAAAAGGCAGGCCCCTGCGGCTGGCGGACGAGAAGCGCGGGAGAGCCCGGGCCCGGGTTCCTGTGTGCGAGGGGCGGGGCGGCGGCGCGGCGCGGCGGAAGAGCGCGCCTGCAGAGCGGAAAGCCGGCCGGGCCTGCCGCCGCCGCCGCCGCCGCCGCCGCCGCCGCGGAGTTCTACGCGCTTCGGCAGCCTCCCTTCGGGAACGCGGGAGCGCGTGCTGCCCGCTCCGGGGCTGGGAAAGCCCTGGTGCCTCTGAACCCCACGCCCGCCGCGTAGGAGCGAGCGCTCTCCCGCAGGAGGCGTGGCGGCCGCCCAACCGCGCCGTCTCGGCCCCGAGCGCCTCCCCGCGGGCTCGGTGACCCGGAGCCGGCGCAGCCGGAACGAGGGGCGCGTGGAAGTATGCTCCGAGCGGGCAGCCTTGCGCTGCGTGGAGGAAGAAAGCCTCCCCGTTCCTTGCCCGGAACTAAGGCGGGCCCCGCAGGGGGAGCCCTGGGTCCTGACGGAGAACTCGCTTTCCTACGCGCGCGCGAGAGCTGTGCTCCCCAAGCCTGGGAGAGAGGCCGATCGGTTCTTTGCAAGCTTTGAGTCCGCTTGTGCAGAGCACAGATCCAACTTATGTTGTCTCTTTTTTGCGTTTCAGAAGTTTTCTTATTAGCACATGTTTGCAGTACCTAACGTTTACATCCTTGTGTGGAGTTGGTACAAATGCATAACACATCTTAATTTTCCCCTCCCCCTCCATCTCCGGATTCTCATCTTATTTTAGAGGCAACAAAAAAATATAAGCAGATTGACTTAAGACATACGTTTCCTGGTAAATAACTCAAACAAGCATGGGATTCAGTATTGTGTTAAACTGAGAAGAAAAAAGTCTGAATCAGACAAGCTAGAAAAAAACAATCAATGGTATGTTTAAAGTTTTCTTGAGATAGGATGTAGCTATGTAGTTCAGACCATCATTGAATTCAATCTGTAGCCCAGGCTGGCTATCCTGCCTCAGCCTCCCAAGTGCTGGGATTATAGGTGGGCACCACCATGCCCAGCTGTTTGTTTTTGTTTTTGGGTTTTTTTTTTTGTTGTTGTTGTTTTTTTTTTGGTGGTGCCAGGGATCAAACTCAGGACCACATTGTGCTTGCCAGGCAAGCGCTTATTCCACTGAGCTACCTCCCCGGCCTCTGATTTTTAATTTAGACTATGAGTGTTACAGTCAAGACAAAATGAGAGTTAAACTCCTGCTTTGTTAGAGGAAAGAGGAACAAAGACTACGAGTCAATAGAAAAATAGTAGAAGTCTCAGATTCTTTTCACTATAATTCTATTTGTAGAAATTACGATAATGAGATATGGACAGATTTATAGGCAGACATTCACTGCAGTATTTTAATAGTATCTCAGAGGACTTCTCAGCACAGCTCTTAACACAGCTTTATGTAACCATCAGACATTTCTGAAGTGTCATGGTTGCGGTGGATTAACTAGTGGTCACCGTGGAGCACCTGCTGACCTGAATCAGCTCGGTGCTGGGTGTGGAGGGCCTGCCTGAGGATTGTTGCCAATTTAGGAAATGTGAGAGCTACACTCCCAAGCAACCACAGCATGCACTCCACCTGGAATGGCCTCCGCAGGCTCTGTCATCCACAGGTAATGGTAAAACCCCAGAGTCCTTTCTTTCCAACAAACAGATACAGACAGGGACGGAAGGGACTATTCAAACTTGGTCTTCTTTCCTTGTGGCCTTTGGTCTCCGTCTCCTCCCCAGCCTCATCGGAAGCCATCACACTTCCGGAGAGGTGTGCCCAGACATACCCTGTTGGTTTTGTTGGTTTTGACTGGAGATTCATAAACTTTTTAAGAGATGAGTGATAGAGCTAACCCTGATTTGTTAGTATGGAATTTACATTGTTTCATCCCATGTATAAAACCATATATATAAAAAAAAGGAAGATGATAAGTTGTTGATTCTCTTTGAAAAGCTTGTCATGCTAGTTTTTGTGATATGCACTCAGCTGTTTTTCTCACTGGCAGAGCTCGAGTCCTCGCTGTCACTGAGGATAGCTAAAGTTCTTTTTTGGGGAGCTCTGATCCTTACCTTGAGCGTTGGCTCCAGTGCAGATCCCTCAGCCTGGGACATGTTCCACTGCTGCAGACTTTATAGCTTCCACCACTGCCCTTCCCAGCGCTGATCCTTGATACAGACCTGCATGAGACATTGTAGTGGGCTCCAGGTCTCACCTGGACTCATGCAGGACATTGCTGTAGGGTCCAGGCTCTCAGCTGGAGTCTGTGTCTCTAGTGCATGCACAGATCTCTTGTATTTAACGTTTTGGGTGAATATTATGAAATAATCCTATGAATTATGTGTCCTGTATTAAGTCTATTCCCTTGTAAACCCTGACAACAATGACAAAGTGAAGTTTACGGTGAGACATTATTCTTTCCGAAGTTATTATACATCAAGCAAATGAACAACTGTAAGAGTAGATCAAAATAGCCATTATATGTTTGTTTACCCCAGCACTAAGGGAGGCTAGATGTAGGGAAATGAGTGTTTTACCGGCATTAGTAATTAAGGCTTGAATATAACATTTCAAAAAGTGAAGCTTAACAAATCTTTCTAAAGTCGCTGAACAAATATGGGTTTGATTTGTATTTCTCCTTAGCTTGACACTTTGTTTTTTGTGTCCAACCTCATGAATCATGTGATTTGGGAAATAGATAGGATAGTATGGTAACCTCCCTGAACCTGTTTCCTCAGCTACAAAGTAAGAATTCCTGCAACCCGAGGACTTTCAAAGTAACCAAAGCACTGTTCCTATACAGAGTTGCATAGGGCTTGACTTCTGCGATACAAATATCAAAAGAGGGGGAATGTGTAATTAACAAATAATACTTCTGGAAACATTTCAGTGAGCTTTTCTAATTTGGGGGCTAACAAGTCTTAACTGTTTTAAGCCATTTGGATGTTTCTTGGTATTCTATTAATTCAAATACAAGTAGATACAGAAGAAATTTGGACCTGGATTCTGGGGATGAAGAACTTCCATAAACCTACTGTCTTCAGCATAACTGCTTGAAACTAATTACACAACTCGAAGTGCTTTCAGATAACTAACAAAAATCAAAGAATCACTTTTATTTTGTTTTCCTTCTCTGTAAAGCGTAAACATATTGCAAAGCACAAAAGGGGCTGGGATTAGCACCGAGCTGCTTTTGACCACCTGTGTTGCTGATGGCCAAGCCAAACCCTTAGGAGGGCTATTACCTTCTCCGCAAGGGAAGAAAACCACCCAGGAGCAGTTGGCATGGGCCTTTCCTTTAATAGCCAAGCGTAGGAAAACAGAAACCTAGTCGTCAGGCTAATAGGCTAAATAATGGTTTGTGCTACCTCTAGAAGCATCAGATGGGCCCAAAACAGAGCGATGAAAAAAGAACCATTGAAGAAAAGCTTCCAAAGACTACACCTCGGTGGTCCCTTTATTCCACAATCTTTGCACTTTCATTACATCTCGCATCCATGAAAATTTCATGTTCAGCATAATATATTTTTTAATTAATTTTTGCATTTTGAAAAGGCCTTTCTGAGAAAAACCCTGAAGCTTCTGAGTCCACATGGAGCACATTTTTCCAATTAAATGTTGGTTTTGGGGGATGTTAACGTACTACCCTTTTATGGAGAAAGAAGCTAACTTGGCTGTGTGAGTATGAATAGGTAACGTACAATACACTACATGGAGCTGCAGTCATTGCTGGTAGGGTTGGTAGCAATGGCTCTAATCTCCTCACTGTGTGCTTTTTTTTTTGGCAGAACCGGGGATTGAACTCAGGCCCTTGCACTTGCCACGGAAGTGCTTATTCCACTGAGCCATCTCCCTGGCCCCATTGGACAGTTTTGTAAGCAAATATGCACTGCAATATTTATCACGCAGGGATATTATTTAAGTGACAGAGGATTTGTTACCATGGTACCTTTGTACAATAGTTTCATATGCTCAGATATTTATGGCTAGTTTTGGCTGTCTCAGGGTAGCTGTGGTGTGGTTTATGAAGCTGGGGATCGAACTGCGGTTCCCTGTGCCTAGCTGCATTTGCCCAAGAGGTGCTTTTAACAACTGAGCTATCGGGCAAGCTCCCAAGACATTTATTTATTATTTATTTATTTTGTATTGTAGTACAGGGTCTACAGGGTCACATTACATAGATTGGACTCGCAGTGATCGCCTGTGTTCAGCCTCCGAAGAGCTGGGATTACAGGCGTGTGCCACCAGGCCAGTCTCAATTGCCTTCTCAGCACGCTCCGGGGTTGGGGCCGACGTGGCACACCAGGGATAGAAGTCCGGCCGATGCATCTGCCTAAACAGGCGCTTTAATAGTAAAGCCAGTGATGTTTGGCCAGCGATATTTATGAAGCATTTCATATGTGAAGTTTATAGTGTAGACAATACAAAATTAGAAGAGATTTTTCTTTACATTGTTGTATACTGAACACATGAACAATAAAAACAAAAGGGTAGATGGAAATAGCTATTAATGATGTGTGTGTGTGTGTAAGAGAGAGAGAGAGAGACAGAGACAGAGAGACAGAGAGAGACAGAGAGAGAGAGAGGAGGTGGTAGAATTTGGAGACTAAGTTGCAAAAATACACACATGTGGTTTTGTTTCATACACATTATGTTTTAACAACAACAAAATCCTTCAAATCTGGCTAACTAGCAATCTTCATAGAATTGAGGAGTATGGACCATCCAAAGTATTTCTCTTTCTTTTTCACAAACAGCAGTGACGACTTCTTTTCTTACAATTTGTACTGTGATTCAGTTCCCCAGGAGACATCTGCTTTCCTCTGCATCCAGAAAAGTTATTATTGCTATTGAAAATAAGGGTCGGACTAAACTATTGAA